ATTAATGAATTACGTTTCTAATGGCCTCTACCTTCACATTTTAGCAAATATATTATATTAGATGTATTCAATGTTTGCATAATCCCTACAAAATATGCTAATATACAATTTATTTCCAGAAACTAATTTCTGAAGAAATTTCTTATCTTCCCAAAAATTACCTTATGTACGCTCTCAGTGCATTCACTGATTTTCAACTTTACAATAAAGTTGTTGTTGTTGTTGTTGTTAGGTGCTATCAAGTCAGCACCGACTCATAGCAACGTTATGCACAGCAGAACAAAACACTGACCGATCGGGGCCAAATAAAGTAGTAGAAATCAAATTTCTCTTTCTTTTGTTTTCTGAGGAAGTAACTGCTTCTATCATTGAGCCACTGTGCATACCTTTCTTGACTTCCCCTCCTTTCCATATGCTCCTCCAAGTATTTAATATAAGGTACATGAATTCTGAGTTGTTTTGTATTAGTGTGATGGCAACAATCAGAAGATTCTTGAATATCATCTTACTTTGAAGTTTAGCCTGGAAGCCACTACCTCTCCTGTTGGTGTAATTATGGGAACATTTTCACAAATAATTCCATGATCCACATCAATCACATTTCCTACAAGATAAAGAATAGTTTAAGTTACAAAAGTGATTAAAAGTTATTGTTAATTACTCAACAACTTATATAATGCAATGTAGTATAACAGATGAATCTATAATAGAGATGATTTTATAGTAATCAATCATAGAAAAATATAAATATAGGTATCTAAAGCAAATGTTAATGTACATTTGACATTTTGACATATCTGTTTAGAAAATCTTTCACAGAAAAATTATTTTATAATAATATAATGTCAACAACATAATGAGAGTAAAGTTAAACTTTACCCAATACACTTCAGCATACTTTAAAAAAACTATATTCCTAAATAAATCTTTCCTGCAAAAAAAGCCTTAATGCTGCAAAAAGGAGAAGTAAAATTTCGAATAATAACAGTTTGAAAAATGTGATAACCAAACTTAGTTTAAAAATGTACAGTAAAGATAGGCAATATGACATTAAATCTAATTTTATTTCTTAGTAAACTTTTAAAAGCAAATAATTCATCTATGATATGTGCAGTGTATAATTAGTAATGCTACAAATTTTATCCTAAATCAAAGTAAAATAAACTGTTTTTTAAAAAATTATTTTGTTGATTGAAAACACACATTTAAATATAGGATAAATAAAAAAACCTTGAATTTAATACCTTTGATTGTCAAGGTGTCACTGAGGGGTAATTCCATGGTGACTTCATTCTTACTATGGTTTTCTGGCTCTTGGATGACAGCAGTTCGCTTATAAATGCCTCTATTTACTTCATCAAAGACCCAAAACATATTATACACTCGAGCAGTATAGCCAGCCAATTCAGTGATCTACAACCAACACAGGGAAATAGACTTATACCCAAGGTAAACGTTAAACAAATCTGTAATCATGTAAGTTTCTTGATTTGACTTTAAAGGTCCTATTTTATTTTATATGAGAAACAGATAGGGCATCGGATACCAAAAACAAGAGATAACAAAAAGCTTCCAAGGGATATATATATCAATCAAATGTCAATGTATAAGTCCACAGATAACCCTGAAGATGCCCCAAAAACAGAAGCAAATGACTATATCAGCACATGCCCAGAAATGAGATAAAGTGACTGAGGCAAATGAGCTGGAAGTAGACCTACACTTCATACTGGAAGATGGGCAGGCTTTGGAAATACCTGAGAAGGAATTC